TAAAAATAGGACCCTATCACTGTACTCTGAAAAATTTGCCCCTTTGGGATTAATTACACATGAGCTCATTGCCACCTTCGTAAAGAAGAAAAAGAAACGTGGCATCTGTGAACGAAGCAAGATAAGGAAATATAGAAAGACCACAGCACAAAGCTAAGGGTCTTCTCCAGTTTTGAATAGGAACTGTGGGGACAATCTGTGTGCTCAAGTGCATGCATTCTTTCTCCATCCCTCAGTATTGTCATCCTACTCCTTCCTGTCCCCTCTTTAGGTGAGGGTTTCTGATTCCACTTGCCCACAGGTCTTGTATAAGTATGTTGTAATGTAAGGGTACATCTTAAAACAGGACTCTGTGGGAAGGAGAGTCTTGTGATCTCTCTTCAGATGCACTGCTCTTGGGCACGTGGCTGCAAAGACGCTGTGCTCTGAGTCCCTACAGTGGCTGTCTCAGAAGATCAGTCCTGATGCCACCACAGCTGCCATTTACAGAGCTGAGCGCTCATTGTGGTTTGGTGTGTTTTACTCAGATTTTGTGGCTCTGACCTTCCTCTGCTCACCACATTCTCTGTAGTATCTGATCGGTTCCAAGTTTGTTCCAGGTCTGTTTCCTGGGAGCCAGTTGCATAACTGTATTTCAGACAGTCTTTAGGGATTCCACCCTCACTCCCTAAGTCACTTCACGACACCCACATACTGATCTTGTAGCCCAATGTTTATCCTCTTCAGTGGAGCAGTAAAGAATTCTAGTTATTTGTAGATCTTATTCTGATGCTGCTTGGTTGTTTATGAAGCTGGACATCTTGTCTTTGATCTCATTGACATTATTTTTGTGTACTTCGAAGATTTAGACTATTTTGTTCATAATATAGACACGCAGTAGCAGGCACTTGTAAATATCTGAGTGAACTTAACTCTCCCAATCACTGAACGAAGTAGGCCTGTGATCCCCACTTTATAGGGCAGGAAAGTGGCACTCAGGCAGGTGGAGTAGCTTTATTAATGTCACACAAATATCTTGATGCATTTTAAATCCCAACCTTGAAGTCTTCCTCTAAGATGTGTACATTCATCTCATATTCTACTTTGTGTCTCTCTGTCCACGTCCCCAAGGGCACTTGCCCCATCCTGGGTCTATTTTCTAATTGATGGTAGAGAACTAGCACACACAGGTGGGGGAGGAAACTGGCTGGCAGTTGGCCTTCCCAGGCCTTACCCTGGGCCTTACCCTTAGCTGGTGTTAGGTTTTTGAGTGAGCGGGAGCCGTGGTAGATCCTGACCACTTCTTGCCTGGATCCTTTTTGATCATGCACCAGCAATTCTTACTTTTTGCAGCTATACTTTCTTTGTCCTGATTATTCTTTTCTTTTTATGAGTTGGAGTCTCACTCTGTTGCCCAGACCGCAGCCCGGCCCCTGCAGCCTTGCCCCGCTGGGCTCCGGCGATCCTTCCGCCTCAGGCTTCCAAGTAGCCGGAACTACAGGCGCGCGCTACCACGCCCGGCTCATTTTTTGATTTATTGTAGAGAGAGGTCTCGCCAAGTTGCCCAGGCGGGTCTCGAACCCGCGGGCTCAGGCTGTCCACTCACCTCGGCCTCCCAAAGCGCTGGGATGACAGGCTGAGCCACTGAGCCCAGCCTGTCCTCATTCTTCTTCTGGGCCTTCTTCCACACATTTGTGTTGTGTGCCAACAAGCAAGGCAAATACTGAGGAAAATAAAACTGTTGCTCTCCTACCAAAAGGTAATAACCCTCATTTTTTCTTTTTTTTTTTTAGTTATAAAAGAAATACATGCTGTTAAAAAAAAGCCAAATTATATGAATCTTTATGAAATAAAAGTATTTTCTTTCATCTTTTTTCTTCAAACCCATTTCTTTCTTAGAAGGAATTATCGGTAGGTGTTTATTCATCTGGGTATTTTTTTAAAATTTATAAATACAAATAAAGTTCTTTAACATCAATTATGCAATACTATATTTTTTATTTTGCTATTTCTCAAACTGTATATTATTGACATGTTTTTTTCAAGTTCTTGAGTGTGCTCTAATGAACATGTACATTGTATTCTATTCTGTTAACTGTTTAGCTGTGCATTTTTTAATAGAAATTTAGATTATTTTTAGTTTCACTATTACAAAAAATGCTACAGTAAAATCCTTGTACATAATTTACTACACTGATATTTAACTGCTCAGTTTGCCTTGTTTTCTTTTTGTCAGACGATATGGCATGTTTTTAACATTTTACGAGAGTTGTCATTTGATTCATAGAGAATTAATATTAAATTGATATCACTGGAGATGGACACTTATAAAGAAACTGGACTTCAAGGTTATCCATCTTACTATTCTGGCAGAAAAGCATAAAATCTAGTAAGTGTTGCTCACTCCATTAGTTTCTAACATGTCAGTATTCTCATAGAAATTTAAATTTAAACGTTTGAATTGCTTCTAACCTCTTTGTTCAAAAAAGTATGACTTTGTCTTTTAAAATTTTGACTTCAGGAACTGTCAACTAAGTTTCAGAGAGAATAGAATAATGCTGTTGTATCTTTTTCTGTTCAGTGATAGGCTGCCTCTGATATAGATCATAGAATTTAATATCGGTAGGTGACTGATTGATAAATGAAATAAATAAAATTCAAAGTGATCAAGATAAACATCTACAACTGTGATTCTTTTTTTTTTAATTATAAATATGTGGGGTACAATTCAGGGTTAGGTATACAAACGTTGATTATGCAGGTCCCCTTGTGGATGCGGTGTGCCCCTCCCTCCCCCAGCAGTTTCCCTCGACTGCTAATCCCACCTCCCTCCCCTGACAGTTTCCCACTACTGCCAATCACTTTCTTATAGTATTATAATTGTTCAAGGTCCGCTTATGAGTGAGAACATACGGCACTCTGTTCTTTGTTTCTGGGATAGATCACTGAGTATGATCGACTCTAAATCCATCCAAGTTGCTGTTTGTCCTTCTTTATGGTTGTATAGTATTCCATTGTGTATACATACCACATTTTTTTTAATCCGGTCCAACTTCTATGGGTAACATGGTTGGTTCCATGTTTTTGCTATTGTGAATAGAGCTGCAACAAACATACATGTACAGGTATCTTTTTCAGAGAATGATTTGAGATCCTCTGGGTATATTCCCAATAGGGGAATTGCTGGGTGATATGGAAAGTCAGTTTCTTAATAACTTTCTTAGATTCCCCCAAGTCTTTATGATTCCTAGTAGAAATTTGCCCGTGGGTGAAGAGATGTGGTTCTGTTAATGTTTTGTTAGTGATTTCCAAATCATTATGGAAGAGTCAGATTGGTTTTGTATTTTTCTTTTGTTATGCTGCCTTTCTCTGCATTTGAAGGTAATACCAGCTCCTAAAATGTATTGGGAAGTGTTCCTTCTTCTTCTACTATCTGAATGATTTTTAAACACTGGATAGAAAACTATTTGGGCCTGGATTTTTTTTTTTTTAGTTTTAAAATTATGATTTTTATTTCTTTCATAATATAGGGCTATTAAAAATATCAGTGTTCACTGGGTGATTATGGTAGTTTCTGTTTTTTGGGGTTTTTTTGAGAAATGTGTCCGTTTCATTTAGGTTGCTAAATTTTATACGTGTCGAGTTGTTTATAGCATGTCTTTATGGACTGAATTATGCCTGCAAAATTAATATATTGAATTCCTAACCCTCGTTGTGACTGTATGTGGCGATGTGGTTTTTTTTTAACAGGTAATTAGGATTAAATTGGGCAAGAAGGATGAGGTCATAATCCAAAAGAAATTACACCAGCAAGTTGGGTCTAATTATGAATTTATTAAGCGTGCAGGTCAAGAGTAGGCAAACGCCAGAAAAACTCTTTGCAGTTAGTGCAGTTTGTGACAAGCTTTTAAAGGTAAAATTTGTAGCATTGGCTACATAGCAACTTAGTGACCATAGCAACTATTAACTAACAACTTGGCAACCAAAATGAGAACTTCGATTGTTAGAGAGCTTTGATTAATTTTATGTCAGGTACGTATAGCCAGTGCCCAGAAAGCCCCTGGAGTTCTGCCATTAAGATATAGCTTAAGGTAGCTACATAGAGACAAGGAAGAAGAATTATTATACAATGGAGTTACCTTGGTTAGGTCACTAACAGAATATAAGAACAAACTATGAAAATGGCAAAGCGTAACATCTGATTTCAGTTAACAAAGCATACAATTACATAGAAGTTATGACAAAGGAGTTCTGTAACGGTCAGCAGGCAACGGTCAGCATAACCTACCCAAAGGAGACAAAGCTGGGGGTCTGTGGTCATGGGAACGTTACTGTCATCACGCGTAGGCATTGATTCTTAGGTCAGGCAGGTAACTAAGATGAGTTTTGAACAAAATGGAGTAAGCTGGTTAATATTATTACTTTGCTGGCAATTTGATTTTATTAACTGATTTAGCTTATTTCAAAGGCAGTAATATGCAAGTCAATAACAGAGTCCTCAGGAGAAACTAATTGTCCTGAGAACTTGATGTTGGACTTCCAATGTCCAGAACTGTGAGGAAAAAATTTTTTTGGTTAAGTCACCCAGATTCTGGCATTTTTCTTATGGTAACCGTAGCATGCATACACACACACACACATGCGCGTGTGCGCACACACACACACACACACACACACACACACACACACACACACACACACACACACACACACATATAAAATATTAGCTGGGCTCGGTGGCTCAACCTGTAATCCCGCGCCTTTGGGAGGCTGAGGTGAGTGGATTGCCTGAGCCTGCGGGTTCGAGACCCACCTGGGCAGGCGAGACCTCATCTCTACAATAAATTAAAAAAAAAAATCAACCAGGTGTGGTAGCACATGCCTGTAATTCCGGCTACTCGGAAGGCTGAGGCAGAAGGATCGCCAGAGCCCAGCAGGTCGAGGCTGCAGTGGCCAGGAGCGGCCACTGCACTCCAGTCTGGGCGACAGGGTGAGACTCCAACTCAAAAAAAATAAAAACTAAAAAATAAAATATTAGCTTTTTTTTTTGCTCCAAAAAGACACCAAATGGCGGATGACGCCGGTGCAGCGGGAGGGCCCGGAGGCCCCAGGGGCCACGGAATGGGACACCGCGGTGGCTTTCGCGGAGGTTTTGGCACCGGCCTCCGAGGCCGGGGTCGCGGCCGGGGTCGGGGTCGGGGGCGAGGCCGCGGAGCTCGCGGAGTCAAGGCCGAGGACAAGGAGTGGATGCCTGTCACCAAGTTGGGCCGCTTGGTCAAGGACATGAAGATCAAGTCACTGGAGGAGATCTATCTCTTCTCTTTGCCCATCAAGGAGTCTGAGATCATCGACTTTTTCCTTGGTGCCTCTCTGAAGGACGAAGTTCTGAAGATCATGCCTGTGCAAAAGCAGACTCGCGCCGGCCAGCGGACTAGGTTCAAGGCGTTTGTTGCCATCGGGGACTACAATGGCCACGTCGGTCTAGGTGTTAAATGCTCCAAAGAAGTAGCCACCGCCATTCGGGGGGCCATCATCCTGGCCAAGCTGTCCATTGTCCCTGTGCGGAGAGGCTACTGGGGGAACAAGATTGGCAAGCCCCACACTGTCCCTTGCAAGGTGACTGGCTGCTGTGGCTCTGTCCTGGTGCGCCTTATCCCTGCCCCCAGAGGCACTGGCATCGTCTCGGCCCCGTGCCTAAGAAACTGCTCATGATGGCTGGCATTGATGACTGCTACACCTCAGCCAGGGGCTGCACTGCCACCCTGGGTAACTTCGCCAAGGCCACCTTTGATGCCATCTCTAAGACTTACAGTTACTTGACCCCTGACCTCTGGAAAGAGACAGTGTTCACCAAGTCTCCTTATCAGGAATTCACCGACCATCTCGTCAAGACCCACACCAGAGTCTCCATGCAGAGGACCCAGGCTCCAGCGGTGGCGACGACATAGGGTTTTCATACAAAAAAAAATAAAGTGAACCAAGCCCCAAAAAAAATAAAAATTAAATAAAATAAAATAAAATAAAATAAAATAAAATATTATATTACAGATTTTTGGTAATGTTTGCAGTCTGTAGTGATATCCCTGTTTTGCTCCCAGTGTGGTAATTTGTGTGTTTTTTGTTGTTGTTGTTGTACTTAGTCATTTTTTCTTGAGGTTTGTTCAGTTTATTGATTTTTTTTAAAAGAAATCAGGTGTTTTATTGATTTCTTTCTAGTATTTTTTTATTTTCAATTTTATATCTGCCAGGCTCGGTGGCTCCACCTGTAATCCCACATTTGGGAGGCTGAGGTGAGTGAATTGCCTGAGCCCGCGGGTTCGAGACCCGCCTGGGCAACTTGGCAAGACCTCATCTCTCCAATAAATCAAAAATTAGCCGGGCATGGTGGTGCGCGCCTGTAGTTCCAGCTACTTGGAAGCCTGAGTGGAAAGATCGCCGGAGCCCAGCAGATCGAGGCTGCGGTGGCCGGGAGCGGCCACTGCACTCCAGTCTGGGCGACAGAGTGAGACTCCAACTCAAAAAAAATTTTTTTTGCTTATTAATTTGGTTATTTCTTTCCTTACACTTCCTTTAGATTGAGTTCACTGTTCTTTTTTAAGGTTCTTCATGTAGAAGATTACATTATTTGTTGACTTGGTTTCTCTAATATATTCGTTTAGTCCTGTAACTTTCTTCTGTGCACTGCTTTTTCTATGTCTCACAAATTTTGATATTTTATCTTTTCATTGTCTTTCACTTCAATTTTGGGGGGTTTTCCTAGAGACTTTCCCTTTAAATTTTAACAGTTGGAGATATGCATGTTGTCTTTGCTATTGGTTTTTAATCTGATTTCATTATACTCAGAGAACACACTCTGTATAATCTGATTTTCAAAATGTGTTCAAGTTTGTCTGATGGCTCAGGAGACGGTCTATATTGCTTTATGTTCTATGAGCACTTGAAAAGAATGCCTGTTCTGATGTGGTAGATTAAATTGTTCTACAAATGTCAGCTAGATTTTGTTGGTGTTTAATTGTTCTACTTTTTTGCATGTTTGCTGTTATAATGTTCTTTGTTCTGTGTTTTGGAGAGAAATGTCAAAGTCTTCAACTATAATTGCATATTTTTCTAATTGTCTATTTTTCCTCTCAGTGTGTTAGAGTCTCTGGTCCACATTATTCTGCTCTGGGGGTTGGTGTATATTGAATCACTATGCCATTCTTGATGGATTAGGCCTTTTATCTTTTTTTATTCTTTTTTTTAAGACAGGTTTTCCTCTGTTGCCCAGGCTGGTATGCAGGGGCATGATCCTGGCTCATTGCAGCTCTTAACATCCTGGGTTCGTCCAGCTCTCAACATCCTTTTACTTCAGCCTTCCCAGTAGCTGGGACTATAGGTGTGTACCACCACACATGCTAATTTTTAAATTTTTTTTTGTAGAGACGAGGTCTTACTAAATCCAGGCTAGTCTTGAATTCCTGGGCTCAAGCAATTCTTCACCTCAGCCTTCCAAAGTGTTAGAATTATTGATGTGAGCCACCATGTCCAGCCTCCTTACTTAATTTTTCTCTATGTCTTGAATAGTATTTTCCCTGATACTTTATCTGATATTAATGTAACTACCTGTGCTGCTCTTGATTAATACTTGCATTTTTCCCGGGTTTTTATATAGCTAATTTGTGTATTATTACATAGGGACTGAACTTATTCTAGAGAGTATATACATGGTGATATTACTCTACTTTGTCAATCTTTGTCTTTAGTTGATTATTTTAGACCATTTACATTTAAGATCATTGTTGTTATAACTTTAGTCTATTTATTTATTTATTTTGAAGAAGAGGTCTCACTATGTTGCCCGGGCAGGTCTTGAACTCCTGGACTCAAACAGTCCTCCTGCCTTAGCCTCCCAACGTGCTGGGATTACAGGCATGAAACACAGCAGCTGCGCTGATATTTTATTTTTTGTTTTCTGTTTGTTCTCTCACAGTTTTCTTTCTCAGTGTTGTTTTCAAGGTCATGCTTAAACCATTCAGGGCAGAAGGACATTTTGAAAAACACTTAACAGGTGTGTAGTTTCAAGGTACATCCACATTTCTTTATCCTGCCCAGGTCAGTTCTTGAAGAGACCAGAAGATTCAGTAATTCCCTCAAGAATGGGGATTCCTTGGAAGTGAGTTTCAACTTATGTCAAGAAAGGGGACTCACATACCATCAAAGACAGTTGCCCAAGTACAAGGGCATATAGAACAGCTGAGCCTTATAGGAACGTGGTGGTCCTCTTTTCCACCTAAAAGATATCTCAGCCTCCAGACACTGTTGAGATGGCAACCTCATTTGGTTCCAATACCTAAAACAAGCAAAACCGAGAGGGTGCAGACTTCCTCACTCTGTGGGAGACATGGCTTGGAGAAAACTCACATACCTGAATTACCAAAAACCTGTATGAGAAACAAGTGCAAAACCTGTGCCAGGCCATTCAGTGTTTTACTGGTGCCCTGAGCACCACATGAGTTTCAAGAAGACTGAAGGGTGCCAAACCTACAGGAAGTTGAAGAATGACTGTCAGATTTGCCTCTTAGGCTTAGAATCTCACCTGCTCTTTTAAGCTTATGATGCGGAATGGTCTTAAAAAGGTGGCATGCCAAAGTCAGATATTAAAAAAAGCACTACATGCAGAATATGGAGGTAGGGATTTCTCACTGAGATGAGCCACTTGGCTTCTGGGGAAAGCCACATCCACCAGTGACATGTTGGACAAACTGGATTATACCAAACCCAAGTACCAAAGGAATAAGCCCCCCACCCCCGTGTCCTTCTGGATAAAAGGGGAGGGTAACAGAGGAAAGGTGTGCACACAGATACAAGAGGCCCACATACACAGATGATCCCTTTGCTGATCAGAATATTAAAGACATAATTATGGAACCAATGACCCTGGAGCAGATAGGCTTCTAAAACAGGCTCCCGACTGCACCTCATCTGGACTCCCCAGAGGACAATGTTGGTGATCTGGGTGATATCATTACTGAGCCAGACCTAAGAACTCATCTCTACCAGGGCAGGCTGCAGGAGGGGCTGCTAAGAAGTCCTTTAACAAGAGGATTGCCAGTGTCTCCGGACTCAAAATAGAGAATCCCAAGCAGTCAGACTTTTAAAAGTAGAGGAGAGCCCACAGACCCTGGGATTCAGCTAGGGGCTATTCCTGCGTTACTAGGAGCTCTTCCTCCACATGAAGCTTTGATCCCTACTATGGAGCATCCTTGCACAGAGTGAGGCCACATTTTCTATTTCTAACCATGAAATAAGCATGAAATTTTGACAAACCTAGGGACGGACCTGGCCTCCCGGACCCTTGCTTACCCAGTTTTCTTTGGTCCTACAATCTGGAGCAGGTGATGCACTCTGGAAGCAGAACCCCCGTGCCATCTGCTTGGCCTCAGACTTCTGCCCCATTGATGGTCAGGTGTGTATGGTCATCATCGGCATCCCTAGTGCCCATCTCCTCTCAGGGTCAGGTTGAAACCAGGTTGGCCCCTTCTGGTTGTGTCACTTGTGCCTTGTAAGAGAGACTGTTGCCCAGGTTAGCCAGCATGAGGATTAAGGATTGCTGCTGCCTGGCCGAGGCTTTGAGGATGCCATACATATCCGCCCTCTCCAGAGGCCTTCAAGTGTCCAACTTCCCTGTTGACATTGATTTCACATTTTCACATGACTGAGGCGCTGTCTGGGGTTCGAGGAAGCTTGCTGGGTGCTGCCCTGGCTCCTCCTGGGCCATGTGGGCAACACTGAGGACACGCCTGCAGGCTGCTGGTCCCAGAGTCGGGGAGTGTGCAGTCTGTGATGGCCATTTTTGGGCTCAGACTGGCTCAGGGCTCCCCACCTCCTGGTCTCGCCCCATTGCTACTCTGCCTGGGGTTCAGCCTGGTCCAGAATTAAGGTGGGAGGTGTCTTTACTTGATATTTTCTTTCTTCTCTCTTTCTCTTTTTAAAATCACACTTTTAACATCTTCCAGTCTTTTACTTATTCCATCTGAAAACTTACTGCTGGGGACCCTCCTTTTCCTGCATCTTTCTCGGCCTGGGGTGGAGCCACCATCCCTAGAGCTTCCTTCTTCCTTGGTTTTGCTCCAGTGTTTCCCGAATACTGGACACAATGTTCTAGGGTTCCTTCTTTCTCAACTCTCTTTTTTTTATTTTTTTATTTTAAAGATGTGGAGTACAATTCAGGGTTAGGTATGCAAACGTTCATTATCAGGTACCCTTGTTGATGAGCTGTGCCCCCCTCCCCTGGCAGATTCCCACTACTGCCAATCCTTTTCTTATAATATTGTGATTGTTGTTCAAGGTCCACTTATGAGTGAGAACATGTGATACTCGGTTCTTTGTTTCTGTGATAGATCACTCAGTATTATAGACTCTAAGTCCATCCAGGTTGCTGTGAAGTTCATGATTGTGTTCTTTATGGCTGCATAATATTTCATCGGGTATATAAACCACTATTTTTGATCCAGTCCGCTTTTGAGAGGCAGCACGGTTGGTTCCATGTTCTTCCTACTGTGCACAATGCTGAGATAAACTTGCGTGTGCAGATATCTTTTCTTATAGAGTGATTTGAGTTCTTCCGGGTATATTCTCAGTAGGGAGGTTGTGGAGTTGTATAGAAGGTCAATTTGTAGATCTTTTAGGAATCAACACACTGTCTTCCACAGAGGCTATACTAGTTTACACTCCCACCAGCAGGGTAGAAGTGTTCCCTTTACACCGTGTCCTCTCCAGTATCTGTTGTTTTTTGAGTTATTGACGGCCATCCTGACTGGAGTCAGGTGGTTTCTCAGTGTAGTTTTAATTTGCATTTCTTTGACCACTAGTGAGGCTGAGCATTTTTTTCATGTATCTGTTAACTGCTCATGGCTCTTCTTTTAAGAAGTATCTATTCATATTTTTTGCCCACTTTCTAATGGGGCCATTTGTTTTTTTTCTTTTCTGCCCAGTTGAGTTCCTTG